GGATTTGGGTTTATAAGAGATATGCTCAGCTAATACATATAATATTATAATATTTTTTTTCTAGAATTTTTTTATTCACAATTAAAACTAACCATTTTATTATATAGCAAAGACTTAGTGTTAGTATACAATGACAGAAAATACCCCAGTGAGTGATATTACATAGAAAAGAATTGAGGAGGCGCAACTCAAGATAATAAGAGAAGCATTACACATTTGCTATAAAAAAGATAGCAAGTTAGTTACTGAATATGCTAGTTATGTAAAAAATTTGCGTCAAGAAGAAAATCCTGATGAGTATATAAAATCAACCACTATAATGCTATTTTCAAATGAAGATGCCTATGAAAGAAGAATGAGTAGATATCGGAAATGGTATCAAGGTAAGAAAGAACTTTTTGCTAGTCTTGAAAACTTATACAGCCTTTACTATACTTTATCCAAAGAAGAGCATCCTATGACTGAAGAAGAAATTAGTAAAACAATAGAAGATCTAATAGCAGATGAAGGTGAATAATAATTATTGATCAAGTGCCCATTTCGAAGACAAATCACAATGCTTAATTAGCATCAATTCCTCTCTTACAAATGAACGTTCTGGACCATCTTCTAACCAATATAAAACTGGTTGATTTTTTGTACAAGAATTCTTCGAATATTAAAAATTTCAGGACTCCAATTCATATCAGTAATTCTTCTTTTAGCAAGACCATGTTCTAGTTCGCCAGGTTTAAGAAGATATCTCACTATGACATAATAGGATAAACAAGGTTCATTATATCCAACTGGTCTTCTATGTTTAATAGCAGGATTAGCAATTATTTTTTTGTCTTTTAATGCTATTTTTATAGCTTCATTAGGAGACATACCTATCAATCGAGTAGGAGTATTATTAAAAATACCATCATTTATACGAAGTCTCTTAACCTATGCTCTAGATCTTTTACTTAAAAGTAAATAAAAATCTACGGTGTCTTGCTGAAAATATGCATGTTTTCAAATTCATGATGATCATGTTTAGCAATAGCAACACCTTCCTTAGTTACAGCATACTGGATTTTTATATCATGGCTAAGTAATAAATCTTTGCACTCGCCTAAGTATTCAGTACCTTTATCCACAATTAAAACTTTAGGCCAGGTAAGAGGACAATTTGGATCACCATAAATTTTCATAAACATTTTAGAAAATGATGTCGATGACTTATTAGTTAAAGCATAACTTTTACAGAATCTAGTTGCTACATCTTTTATTATTCCTCTGTACTTGTAAATTCGGTTGCCAATTTTATCATAGGGCATAGATGTAGTATCGAATTGATGAACTTCATTTAAATTTTGTATCCCATTAAAAGAAGAATATTGAATAAATTTGGAACAAGGCTTATGAATCTGAAAAACAGCTTGCTTATTTAACCAATTATATACCTCAGCTAATGAAAAATTATGTCCAGCCCTTACACATACATCTCGCATTTTTTCAGCAGTTCGATAATAACCTTCAGGTTTATAATATAGTTTCTGCAAAGCAATCTCCCTATCTAAATCATGGGCTTTTTGTGAATCGATATAAATTAAAGATTTTTCTATTATACTATACTAAATAAAAATGGAAGAATTACAACAAACCAACCAAGAGCTTTATGAGGCAGTGACACAATTAACAGAATCAAATAGGAATTTCGAACAACATCTATATATCTTAGAAAGAATTATCAGCATACGGGAAGAAAGAATATGGTTTCTTGAAGAAGAATTAAATAACACTATTGAAATTTCTATACTAGAAAAAGAGGAGCTAAAAGAAGAAATTTCAAAATTAAAAAAAATCGTTCATCAACTCGAGGAAGAAAATAAAAAGAAAGATAAAGAAATTTCGAATAAGAATGAGTTAATAACCAAATTTGATGAAGAGGGACAAAATTAAAAACTCGAATATGAGAGATATCTAAATTGGCTGGAAATACGCCTAAAGTACAAGATTATACAACCAGATTAGTAGACGAAAATGAATACCTTAAACAAGAAATAAATACAATAAGGGTTAATCAAATAAATAGGATTAATAAAATAAATCAGCAAAAAAATCGTATTACAGATCTGCTTTATCAAAATTTTGCATTAGCATTATTAAGATATCGAGATAGATTAGAACTTAAAAATACACAAGAGGCTTTACAAAACGCATAGGCATGGAATTTTGGCAAAAATGAATCCGATTCTAATGAAAATTCTCTAGACTTGTATAATTCTGATGATAATATAGAAACAATAGCTGAATTGGCTGATGCTATAGACTGATTTCTAGATAATATAACGATATGTAGAACTATTTTAACAAATCAAATTAAAAGATTAACAAGATCTATCTGACGTAAATATGCTAATCTGCAACAAGATCTGATAAATGTAAGATAGAATCTCGATACGTATAGACAAGAGCAGGATCAGGTATTGCTTAATCTTTAGCAGTTGCGAACTAATGCACAAAACTAGATAAATAGAATAATAGATAATATAGTAAGACAAACCTGTATTGGTGAATTATTAAGCAAAAATTTTGCTTTTCAATTATTGTATCAGCGAAATACCCTCTACTTACAATGATGTAGAGCCAATAGAGGTTTGCTAGAATATAATTGAGATAGATTATATGAATGATATGAGAAGTGGAAAAATAAGACTCATGTGGAGCACCAAAATATTTTAAATTTAAATTAACAAATTTTAGTGCTTCATAATAATCAACAAAATCGAAGAAATATAGCAGGAATACTGCAACCATTTTTTAACTGGGGTGATGATATCCTAGATTTTCTTGCAAAACTAAGATTATACTTGCAAAACCAGAGTGTAGATTCGGCAGATAATGCGGGAGGCCCACCAACAAGAAGAGATATAGCTATAGGATATTTAAGAGGCTGTATGAGAGAAAGAGCTTTAGAATGGTTTGACGAAGAAATTACTACAAAACAGAATTGGGAATTAGCAAACTTACTTGATAATACAGGACAGGCTAACTTGGTAGCAGTAAATGGGCGAACAGCAGTTCAGATAAGAAATCAAGCATTAAATGAAGCACTTGGCCAACTAGGAACTACAATAGTCAAGTTGAGAGCTGTAGAAGGTCCATGGGATGAAAATTGGCACATAGCAGGTAGTTGGCCTACTAACATTGCTGTTAATATACTAAATGCTAATAATAGTACTACAGTCATTGTAGCTGGCATTCATTTTGGTCAAACCATATGGTGGCTAAAAACACATTTTCTTACAGTGGAAGAGGAGCTTCGGGATTTAATATATGGAACAATCAGAAAGGGAAACATGACTATAGATAAATTATATAGAAAATTATTACAAATAGGTAGACAGGCCAACTATATACCTGAAGAATTATATAGAAAGTTTTTAGATGCTCTTCCACTCCCATGGCTTGAAAAAGCTGAGGATATCGGTAAACATTTGCCATTAGATAAATTGGCTAAAAAGCTATATGAGATAGACTTACGGCGAATAGCTAGGCATAAAAGAGATAAAATACCTGATCCACTAGTATCTCGGCAAATATATAAACCTTCACCCATTTTGGCTTCTCAACAACAAGAAATTTCCTTGGCAGATATGAAAAAAAGATTTCAAGATGCATTAGTATAGCAAAAAACTGAATACCAGACTTTATTGAAAAAGCAGAACGCCAAATTTCAAGCACAGATGCTACAACAAAGCAAGAAAACTCCTTCACCAATTCCTTCTAAAAATATAGAGCAATTACGTTATTTATATAAAAGTAATAATTCCTTTGATGGGCCTCCTGTACCACATAAACCAGATAAATTACATTCAGCAAGAATTGATAGATTAGAATCTATAATAGGTAAAGTTGCAAATACGGTAGGTAGTGTTGCAGATTCTGTAGGACAATTAACTAATTAATTAGGAAGAATGTTACTTAATGATTAATCTCGAAAACCTTTCTATTGCAGTAATTGCGGACAGGAAGGGCATAAAAAAAATAATTGTCTCAGCTTAAATCCTATAGCTAAATCAAATTTTATACGTTACTACCCCTAACTTTCATCTATACAATCCCAATACACGCCTTTAGCTTCAGATGACGATAGTGATGATAATAGTAGTTATGACGAATAAAAAAATAGATGGACTGGATATGATCAATCGGTAAAAAAAAAGATATTAGTAAATAAAAAGTTATCTCCAGAATCCAGCCAGCCTGAAACATATGATGAGCTAATGCCAAAGCTTTCACCAGCAATGCATAAAATGTGCTTATCCCGAAAGGCTTTAGAAAAGGAATCGGATGAGTGGTTTTTATCTTTACAATATCTGAATGCAAATATAAATAATTTAGCAATTTCTGAAACTTTTTTAGATCCCAGAAGTGAATTTGGTAGTATAAATGACCTGGCAATTAAGGCGCTTGAATGAAAGGCTGATAAGCCATCTGATTTTGCTATAAAGAGCAATTCTAAGCATATCACTGATTCATTAGGATAGTATACAGATGTGCCAGTTACTATAAAAGACAGAGAGGGTAAAATGGTCATAGTCATTAGAAATTTTGTATGTATAGATAATGGCGAACCTGAACTAATACTATTTTTAGGTATGTCAAATATTCGAAAGCTCCAAGGTGTTCCTGAGCCAAATAAAAACCAGTTCTGTATAAAGTTACATGGGAAGACTTATGTTATTCTAACATATAGCAAGGCCTCAGTAGCTAAAGAACCATCAAAAGAGAAGCAGAACCAAGTATCTACTGATTCCTCTAGCCTGATTAGTGAAGACTTAAAAAAAAGTATATAAACTATATAAATTATGCTTTAGTGCCTTTGGGTGAGGATATGACAATTCGTGTAAAAGAGCTTGAAAAAGCACTATTTTCTAGCATTCAATCGAATTTGGAAATTATAAGATACTACAATATTTTGC